ATATAGCTTCTTATTATTATTATATATATATATTTGGCTGTGGCGGCCGCGCCTCTATATACTCCCCTTTTGTCGCTGCTGCTGCTGCAGGGCTGAGTACTTATACTACATATACGCCTCTCTTTCTCGCCCAAGAGAGAGAGAGAGAGAGACTCGCTATCGTTTGTGTGCAGCTGACAGTGCGTGCATAAGTCACTTTTTTGCGTGTGCATTCACGCGCGCTCGCTCTCTCATCGGCTGCATGGCTTTCTGATTTTTTTCGTTTTCGTTCTCTCCGAGTATAAACTGTATTTACTTACAGGCAAGGTCGCTCGTTTTTAGCGAGTACAGATAATAACGACGCTAATGCGAGACAACGCACAGAACACGACCGACGCTGTTTCGGATCCGGTTGGAATTCAAAAAATATATAACACGGTTTATGCAAATCTTGGGCTGGTGCGAGCTCGTTGCATGCGTTATAGATGTCGTTGCACGCGCGTTTGTTGTCGGATCGTGTCGACGACGACGACGACGACGACGACTATCAATATTTTGGTTGCAGGCAGAGAATCGAGAAGCGAAAACATAACCGCTGCACGATGCCACGGCTTTATCGAGGCTCGAACGAGTGGATGTTGATTTTAAGGAATATATTCAAGAAAAATAATGATAATAAAATAAAAGATATATTTTTATCTCTCTAACCTTAAAAATGAAACGTTGTCACTCGATTTTCTGTTTCTCTTGCCGAATTCGTAATTGCATTTTTCCGGTGCCCCGCAACCCCTCTACATGTTTCCCGTTCAAACGAGACGTATCCGTAGTACACACCCGTTGCGTAACGTGCAATTAGAATACTTCATTCGTGCATCAATTATGCATGTGAAAACTTTGCGGGTAATTTGAACAAAAGATAAAGTATATGAAAATTTACAAATGAACGTCGCAAGCGCGTCGTGCCGAGCAACGATGAAACAAAATACGTCGAATATAACACACACACGAGCAGGTCGTTGGTAACACAATATTATTCAACGTTCACTCTATACGCGGACAATTGTAACAAAAATACGTTGCACGCGCCGCGTAATGCAGTTAGACAAAAAAAAATATATAAGGTGTGTTTCGAACTTTCGATGTGCACATTCCGCGAGACTTTTTTACAGCAGCAGCAGCAGCACTCAACGCACCACCGCACCACAACAACAGCAACAACACAATTTCGGAGTTTTCAAACGTTCGAAACGGATAATTGCGTACATACATCATTATGTCGCGCTGCACCGGCTCGCGTCCCGTCTAACGCTAATAAGCTCTCCCCGGTCACGCAAATGTATTTAATATTTTCTCGACTGCAACTCGTCGTCGTATACGTGGCAAATGGTGCGTAACGCCTGTAATAACCGCGTGCACACGGGAAAAATCAACAACGAGCTGAAAGAGAGAGAGAGAGAGAGAGACCGAGAGCAGCAGCAGCAGCAGCAAAAAAAATCGAGCCGAATTGATGATTATGGCGTAGAGAGAGGCAACAGCAGCAGCAGCAGCAAACGAGAGACAGAGAGACGTTGCACTCTTATATACATGTAAGAGGGAGCAAGAGAGCACAAAACAAACGCACACCTATACACAGCGCACACGTACAGATATATATGCACTTTTTTTTACATGCGGTTTCGTACTCGTACGCACACACAACTCCGAGAGTAGTGGGTCGCGCCGCGCGCTCTAAACGCATACGCACACACACACACACACACAGGCACAGACAGACGCACAACAGTCAGAAGGAGGCACATAGTCGCCGAGGTCAATAATGATAACATTCCGTTATAGGTAAAAACTTGGCTTTCTCACGCAATGACTCGTTACTTGCAACACTCGACACAGAGAGAGAGAGAGAGAGATACAGATACATACCTATACGTATACGAGTGTGTGTATGTGTGTATACAGCTACAGAACGAGAGAAAAAGAGGCTACCGACGATGGCCTATTGAGGAGCTTCCATCGTCGCCTCTCTCAGCCTCTATCTCAATCCCAATGTTGTATTATAACTCCTGACTGCAAATGGATGATACCTCTTCAACTTGACTCTTAAACGACGACGACGACGACGACGATGATCCCAATTTCGATTCGTTATTACAGTCACAAAAATGTTCGAAATCACAACAACAACAATTAATAGTTGGCCCACTGCACTGGCGTCAATCACTCGAGTACGTTATTATACATACACAGACGAACACAAACCTGCAGTTATAGCAGCGCGAGCGGTAGCAGCACAGCGCGCGGCAGTTACATTTTATATAGCACACCCACGCGACAAACGCAGCACACCAACCAATACACTTATGAACTCGGCGCGTTACGATATATAATACCATCGCGCTGCGCTGCTCGCAGCTCCGAAAAGCGGCCGCGCCGATACATTAGGTATATACACTATACAGGGGCACAAAGAGGCGACTTTGTATCGGACTGCACTTCATTCGCGAGGCGGGAAGGAGTTATGTGTGTTACGTTACTGTACACCGAGAGTTAATGCAATTTTAGAGGCTATGGTCGTCGTCGTCGTGTATGTACGTTTGATCGCGCGTGCAGTATACAGAGAGAGAGAGAGAGAGAGAGAGAGAGAGAGAGAGAGAGAATGTGTGTACGTACTACAATGTTTTATAACATAACACTATCACATGCATTTGCAGCATATAGCAGTCTCGAGAGACCGATGGTGCGCTGCGTGCGTTGCTTATACTGCTGCCGCTGCGCTCGGTTGCTATGGGCTCGGCGATATCGATACAATCGAGAGTCGATTCTCTTTGAAAACAATCGATTTATACTTGGTCGATTCGGTTTTTCAAAGAGAGAATATATTAACGCGACTCCAAAGATCCGAGTATCATCGACGTCTATCTCTGATGATGTATGATCGGTACAAGGACGAGATGGCACTCCACAATAGGTTGAATCTGTTTACTCTAGGTAATCGATCTTGATTATGATCTTCAAATACGATTAGCCGATCGTACAACGATTGCACTCGCGTGTATTGCTCCGTTTTTCAAAGTTTGCACTTGTCCTACTTTCATTGTGCTAAATTAATTCATCATATTTTAAATGTTACTGTATTTTTCACGCTTACGTACAATCGAAGTTCGGCATTTAACACGAAAATTCCATTTCAATTTTATACTTTTTTGTTTTTAAAAAATATGTTGAATTCTTTACATGTTTATCATTTTTTTGTATAATCGGTATCTGTATCTGAATCTTATATTTAAAAAATAAATAATAATAATAATGGTATTAGAATGATTCATGACTTGGAATCAACCGTTCGATTTTTTCAACAAGGGAATTCTACTACAAGATTATTTTTTCAGGTATCCATTTCAAATTGGAAATGACGAAAATTGTAACAAGACATACCAAAAAATAAAACAGAAAAGCATTATACGTTATTTCGTGAAGGGTAAAAAATAGTCAAAAATTCATTTCAACAATTGTGTATGCTTGTATTAAAGACGATTTGTTACATACTTTGACATTTATTCCTCCAGTTAAACATCATTGTACGTACATCGTGAATTACATATGAAATCTACCATCGATATTTATTGTAAAATATAAATTACAATGAATTGAAAAAAAGATCTTGCTTCGTTCCATGAAAATTATATATCATATAACATATTTGTATAATATATAAATACGGTAAAATTAGCACATCGATGTATAAAAATTATAATAGTGGTTCGTTTTGCTCTCATGATTTTGAGCTGGGCAACGCCGTGATCTCGATTAACAATATAAGTACGACTTGCGTCTTTGACTTTATACAATATTTTTTGCTTGTAAATATTACCAAAATTGATAATTCCATAACAATTGATTGATAGTGATTTTTCTGAGAGAGACATTTATTCGTGAGTTTTTTTTTATCATAAATATTTACATTTCATTGAGTTTGTATGTACAATTTGGTTTTGATTTTATTACAACTAATATCCATTTTCAATTGGCTTTTATTTATTTAACTAAGCTATTATCTCTCGTATAAAAGTTCCAATCAGAACTTGGGCTTAAAAATAAAATTAATGCCGTGAAAAAATTTTGTATGTATTATCAATGAACAAGTACAAACGCGTTCAATGATAATTCAATTTTGTCACAATTTTTCATGTTAATCGTAATTTTTTATAAAAAATATTTGCAACAATACTATTCATACAAATTACAAAGATACCAAGTATAAAAAAAACATTCTTAGCGAATGTTGTTACTTTATTTTTTTTAATGAAATTTTTCACCCATGAAATACCCGTTACCTGTTTCTGCGATTAAAAATAAACTTAACATCCTTAAATTTTCATTTAACTCAAAGGTAATAAAGAGATCTTATCAACATGGTTTATTTCACCATTATTTTTTAGTATAAATTATGTGTTGACACCTCAAATGCTAATGGAATGTAGATTTCGAGTTTTTTTTTCTAATTTCAATGAAAAGTTTTTTGAATCCAGTGTATTTTGAAAAGTATGTTCTGTGCCTTTCTTAGTGTATAAAAGTAGACATTTATAATAAAACTTATGTGCGTAAGTTGTGACACATCTTTGCCAGAAAACAAATAAAAACTATTTCTTGATAATGATTGATATTTATCGTATTTGTTTTAGAAAAATCACAAATCAGCGCTTATTATTCTACTTAATACCAATACTTAGTTAAGTCTCATGATCATAAACTCCTATGAGAAGATGATCAATCCACTACATTTTTTGGCCTTTTCATGATATAAATTATTAATTAGCTTTCACATTACACTCTAATGGCTTTCGTGAAATTTTGATTACCATTCAATATAAAGATAATATAAATTTTTCCACATATAGATAATGAGTCATACAATTATTTAATTTATAAATTTTTAGGGTATCATGTAACCAATTCAATAAACATGTATTACAATTTAATATAAGTTTTGCAATGAATGATGAAATTATTAAAAACTATCCTTCTCTGTAGCAAAGTAAGTCATTACAGTACTCATTTTATTCGTATAATAGTTTGTAATTATATACATTTTATCGAATGAAAAAAAAATTATTTTAAGAATTGATTATTCCAAAAAAAATGTTAAAAAAAATAACAATTGATTAATAGCTCGAACTTACGAGTTCATTTGATACGTAGGCGTTGCTCGATATCACACAAAAAAACTATTAAAGCACCTAGATATGAATACTTTTTCTTCAAATTATATTTATTTCTTTAGTAAAAACAGAAAAGTCAATAGCGAGTTTAAAACTCTTCCATTCATGAATATAAAATCAAATAAAAAAAAACTAAAATTAAAGACAACAAAATATACTGAAATAGTATTTTTCTTTTCGTTTGAATTTCCACTTCGGTCGATCTTAAAAAATAATACCATGTACACGTATTTTAATAGCAACACTAAACACAAAAATCCATTTCAAGCAATCGTATGGATTCTTATGATTTCACCGAGGAATCTTACCGATCTTAATCTCAATATCAGGATTTGTTTTTGCACTTGTGTTTGACCCTCGGTGACACGGAATAAAGTTTGCGAAATATACTCTCGAGATCCGTCGTTGGGAACAGATTTTGAACGATGCCCTCGAGAAGCACGTAGAGCAAACGACGATTTAGCACCGGCCGTTGAAACAGCTCGAATACTCGCAGAAGACCGCGACGCGTGGTCTCGCTGCCGATTATGTGTTTCAGCTCGTCGGACAAGCACGAGAGCAAAGCGACCTTGGCGGCGACGCGAGTCCGGCTCTTGGTTTCGGGATCTCGCGGCGGTTTCGACTCGGCGCGTCCGCCATTCGGCCAGAAGCTATGCCTGAGAGAAAAGAAAATGATTTCGCTTATAATACAATTCTATGAAAGAAAATTTTATCAAGGTAAAAAATACTCACTTGAATAATTTTAAATACGTCGCTACGTTCTTGGGACTAGTCAGAAATGAAACGTACTCAACGATCCTTCGATTAACAATATCACCGAACATTGTGCGAATGATTTGTCGCAGCAAGGTTATTATCCTACGCCGAAGCCACTGATTCCTATTTTTCAAGTCAAAGATTTCGTCCATCAACAGAAGAATGATCCTCAACGGTATATTATCGTCGGTCTGTGAACGTAAGTTTCGTTTTAAAAATTGCGCCAATCAAACAAAACAGAATAAAAGAAAACTTATTATCTCGACATACCTCCGCATCGAGGCTTGCGCCGACTTTGACGCTCTCGTAAAATACGCTACTTTTCTTCGGATTTCCAAAAAATTTGCTTATATTGTCCATAACTCCATCCACTGTGTTGATCATGTTGTCGGGCACGTTCTTTACCGTTTGTGTTATGGTTTTCATAGACGTTTTAAGTGGATTAACAATGGTATCGATCTGTTAAATTTCACCAATCACGTTAAAACACAATGCAAAAGCTATAGAAAATAAGTCTCGATCGAAATGAACTTACGGTTCTGGATAAATGTCCGCCAGGAACACCTTTGTCGTAATCACCCTGTTCGAGGAAAGCGAGAAGCAAGTTCTGCAAACCCATGTGACCGTCGACGATGTTTGGTTTGGTGATTTGTATCAGCCAAGCATTGAGCATGACCATTCGCCTCTCCAGTGTCGATCTGTCCATGTTGTGGAAAGCCTTCTTACCCGGGAATGCGATTTTCGCGAGGTCGAAGTATTTCTCTTTGATTTTTTGATAAAGATCGTAAAAGTCGGAGTACCTGATAAAAAAATTGAATCGTTAAGTATTTCAATGGTCGTGACTTGGTATACACCATCATTTGCATCAGAATTACCTTCGATATATATGCCATTTTTCTTGATATCCAGAATCGTAAGCCTTTTTGACAGCAACTGCGTAAATTCCATAAGTCTTGCCGCGATCGTTAACGATGCCCGTCTCGATGATCTCCACGCTCAGATCGAACTTGCCTTGCTGCAATTTTTTAATGACGTTCGGATCGTAGCCGCTCTCGTCGAGCTTCAGAAACTGCTCGATGTTGGTCTCGATGCCGTAAAAGCTCGGCGGTCCCTCTTTCAAGTGGCTGCTGCCACTGCCCGTGCTGCGCTGCTCTTCCGCGCGAGCTGCCAACGCTGCAGCTTTGTCGTCGCCACCGCTACCCGTCGAGTCGGCGTCCAGATCGTCGCACGAGGACGACTTGCTCTTGGTGTCGAATTTCATCGACGATGCTTAATTCGTAAAATCGGAAAATTAGCCATCTAGAGCAAAGTTATTTTACCACTGCTTACTTACTTTCGCTTTTTGATTTTTCCGAGCCGTCCTTCGGTAAATCGTTGTTGTGTTCCTCGTGCGTGTCCAATTCATTGTTGATGCTCGACAAACTGATGCTGTCCAATGACTTGCTGTCGTCCTCCGAAGTCGGATCTTTCAACAGATCCAGTTCGGCCAACAGTTTTAAATACGAAACGGAGCGTTTGAAGGCCGGCAAAAAGCGATCCTCGTTCTGCAGTTTTTCGTAGCAGCAAGCCTGCAGTTCGTCGAACCACGTCTCTCGCACCTGTTCGGTTTTGATGCGACTGACAAGAGCTTTGACGAGAGCGTCGTCGAGTTGGAGCTTCGACGACGACTTGTCGCTGAGATATTGTTGGTAGATTTTCGAGGCTGCCTCTTTCAAGTTTTCGAGATCCACGTTGCGCTTTTTCGACGAGCTGTGCATTATTAATGATTCAAATCAGTTTTGAAATTAATTCAAAAAATGTTTAAAGTCGAAAATTGAATAAAACCCTTTACCTGGATGTGGAACCCTGCTGCGAGTTGTGTAGTTTTTGTAATTCTATATCGGAAATTTGCTGTTCAGCTGATACACGCCAGCCGTATATATTTAAATAAAAGTAAAGGTAAGCTTCGGCATTTATATTGGTCATGTAATCGATAAAATAACTTAACGCTATGTTATTTTTTAGCAATTCATCCAATGGCAAATTAACTGGAAAACAAATGAAAAATTAGATTTCGAATCCAAAATTGAAAATTGTCCAATCATGATTATACAAACCTAATTTATAACCAGGAACAAGTAAACGATTCCAATCTGGAATTGCACCCAAGCCGTCGCTTTCAGAAGCATCGAGACCTTCTTTCATGCCAATAATTCGATTGTCAAGTATTTTTTTAACATAGATAAGACTGTTTAGCTGTTGTTTTACAGTGAGGTCGTCCTCGCCACCTGAATCTTTAGATCGTAAGTGAGCTATTTCACGACAAACGATATTTTTTGTGGCTTGTAATTCTTCCACACTATCAGTCATTCTAATAACGGTTAAAAATACATCACTGGGTAAACTATTTTCTTTTGTACACTAGAAATGGAAGAAAAATTTAGTTAGATCGTACACTTGGATTTTAAACTCATCGAGTACTTAGAAAGCGTTCATCTTACCAGCCATATGAAAGCCTGATTGATATAATCAGGATCAGAAAACAAATCAAGAAGCGGCTTTATAATAACATTCACTAACAATTCCCTTAAAATAAATCTCACAGTGAGACAGTCGAAGTCAGACTTGGGCAATAATAAGTAAAGTAATATTTCTGATATTTCGCCAAGAAAAGCCAGTTCTTGTTCGGGATCGGTGCAAACGATATCGCGACAGATCAGATTGTTCTCCATCTGCACTTCTTGATCGAAAAACGCCTTCTCTAGAGATTCAACCTCCTTTTCGCCATTCTCTACGGGTTCGTTTAGAGAAGATAAGTTCGGTATGTAAAACCTTGATTGTGAATACCAAAAGACATCTGTTTCACTCTTATTACGGCGGTGTGTAGGTGTCTTTTTCGGTGTGCCACCGGATTGTGAGCTGCTGCTTCCTTTCGAACTGGTCGAGCAGCGAACATGCTTCATCTTTGCTCGAGCCTGCCGATAAAGACGCATGTGTGAAGCTGCGTCATCGACGAGTTTTGTTGTGAGATATGGTATCCAGTCCACATCTTTGACCCTTTAACAAATTGATTCGTTAAAATTTTAAAATAAAAATGATTTTAAGTTGATACTGAATGATTAAAATAACAATTACCTATTTGCAATGTTGATTGCAATTTTTTGAGCAGTGTCTCTGACAGATTTTGTAAATTCTTCATCATTTGTAAGCACACAATACCAAGGTTCTACATAGTCTCGCAAAACAAAATCTAAAATTTCCTACAAATCGAATGGACAATTTTAATGACTAATACAATGACATAGATATGCCATGCCTTATTTGGCGTAAACTCAGTGATACTTACTTGTAATGATTCATCAATAATATGACTTCCAGTCACTCTTCTGTCTAACGAGTACGTAACCTTTCTCTTCGACTCTTCCAAAAGTAACTAAAATGACAATTCAACGTTAAATTCATCTCCATGAGTATAAATAAAATCAAACTAAAACGAACAGTACCTGTCTAAGTTTTTCTGTCTTCTGATATAAGTTTTCTCTTCCATCTTTGACTGCATTTTCTAACTTAGAAGCATTCTTTCTATATATACAACTTATAAGACTGAAAAAATATTTTATATTAGCATGAAATCTACGTAGTTATTTTCATTTAAAGTACAAATTTGAAACATACCCCAGCAATAAAACTGCTAACAGTGAAAAAATTCGTATTAGCGTTGTGAAACTAAAGATGGCAAAGAGCAAGATTGTTATTGCTCCCACAATTCCGTAATGAGAAACATTCATCTGAAAAGATTATAAAGTTGTTAATAATAAATTTATGAAAACAGTATTATTTTAATATTATTATGATATAAATAATAGCTTTTTGACTATTTGAAGAATTTTCAATCTTGATTTCTGTTACTTCTACATGATATTATGTATTTCTTTAACATGCTTTATGGCATCCTGAATAACATCAAAACAAATGTCGTAAATAAGGCTTTTTAGAGAAATATAAAGTAGAAGTTTTAGAAAATAAGAATAAAATATTGATTTTGGAGCTGATTTTGCAGTTTTCTAAAACAAAAACTGCTACCTGCTTGTTGTCTACGACATGTATTCTATTCATCAACTTGTTTATTTTCTTTTTCTTTTTATGATGTAAGCTTTTTAAAATAATAGGGCACTTTTTTAGACATTTGAATTTTTCCATGATTAATTTATTAGTGATTAATTTATTTATGATCAATTTATTCATGATTCAATGGTGTCTTTTATACTAGAAAGATTTCACACAATTAATTGGACCAGCCAAATAACTAATCAAACAAACAGCGTACTAACAGAAAGCAGAATCTTATACTGTTATTCGTTCTATTTTCAAAACAACGCGAACTCATACCACGTGTATCGTTCATTCAAAATTCAATGTAGAGCGTGTTGAAGAACATCGACAACAACAGTCGTCTGTCGATAAATTGCAGACGAAAGCCATGTCTCGTCTTACGGTGCGCGCATCATCAATTTTTACGCTCTAAAATAACGAAACTTTCACTGCTTGACGTAATTTATAGCGCAATAGAAATAGATGAATCGAGAATTACGAAATGATAGAGAGAACGCTTGGTACGATCCAGGACACTTTTCTAATCGAAGTTATGCGTTCAGCAAACATAAAATTGTTAATATGTGCAAGAGAAATTATCGTTTGTTATCGAGTCGAATGTTTAAAATGTATGAATAAACCTTACCAGGAACACAGATACGAGCTGGTTGTGAAAAAATAGTAAAAACACGAAAAAAAATCGACGTAAATTCAATCTTTTACAATGAAGCAACAGTTGCCAAGTGGCCAGTCGGAAACGATTCAGCGCCGACTTATGTCATCGATCGCGTCCGAAATATTTCAAGAATGCAGCCCCGCGGAGCCGCCGCACGTTTTTCCCATATCAATTCCATATTATAGAAGCAGATAAGGCAAATAAAGATCGCACGACGACGACGACAGCTCGCGGCTATAAGTTTATCGCGAAAGAAATATGTGTCATATAAATACACCGCAGTGCCTCGGTGTAGTAGCAGCAGAATTAATAACCGAATTACGAAGATATCGAGGCTTTTTGATCGTTGTAGTACAGTGGCATACAGTACAACACGCCTACATGTATGCGCTGCATGGCGGGTGTATACTGTATATATATGTTCTCTGTCTCTGTGTGTGCGCTGCAGCACGCGAGGAGCTTGTGTGCGTGCACATTGTTCAATAATAGTATTTTATGCACTGCGTGCACTGCAGAGGGCAACTTTCACCAGGCTACCACGGGAAAGAAGTTTATATAGAGAATTTCGTATGCGAACGAGAGAGAGAGAGAGAGAAAGAGAGAGAGAGAGAGAGGGAGGGAGAGAGACTGAGACTGACAGAGAGAGAGAGAGACAAAGATGATTACACGAAATTGTCTCGAGCGGTAGACAACACAGCATAATCACAATATACATAATGAGCATGCTAGCATCGAGAAAAAAAGCAGCAGCAGCTTATCGTAGCTCGCGTACGAGCTGTCAGTCGATTGATAATATTTAACCTTGTCACGGATCGACTGCGCTTACATTATTACAAGCCCGTTTAGTTGCATTAAAAAAAAAAAAAAAAAAAGGATGTCACGCTGTTTAAATGTCACAACGATGCGTACCTTTGGATTTTGAACTGTTCTCGTGTGCAATCCGGCGATGTTGTAGAGAGCCGCTGATACGGCGGCGGCATAATTGCGCCGATGACTGAAGCTGCCCTTGGTCGTCGACGTCGTCGTCGTCGTCGTCGTCCCGTCCGGCTGAGATGGCTTTGGCTCATCGACGGACGTTTTATCGTTTCTCGACGACGGCTCTTGACTCTTGCCAAGTTTACTGCTACCGCCTGTGACACCGTCGCCGCCGCCTCCGACACCACCGCCGCCGCTACGTTGTTGATGCTGTTGTTGTTGTTGTGATTGCTGTTGATGCAGCACTTTGCGACTCGTCGACGACGACGGCAACGACGTCGTGCTCGCGCTTAGCTCCAGCTTAGATGACACTTTTATATTGTGATCCTTGTATCGTGGGATAATGATTCACTTCGAAGCACGAGTAGTTGACGTTACACGCTGCTGCTGCTGCTCCACGATGATACTGCTTCTTCTTCGCCACGGCGACTTTTGTACACGCGCGACCGATGCATCATCATTATTATAACACGATTCAGCTGCCACTCTGACGAGCAGATTAAGAGAGAGAGCCTCGCGTTACATGCGATTGGTTAGACTTATATATATATGTATGTTTTACCCGAGGGTAATATTTGTAAAATGTGTACGATGCTACTGTAGTCGTGCGGTTATGAAAGGGGACAGTTTCGATTGACACCTGAACACCAACGCTGTTGCTGCCAGACTGTTCACTGTGTGCAGTCGTCGGTGCGTTATTATTATACACTGCGCGCAGCTGTGTGCTGGTACCTACGTACGTGTGCGTGTGTCTGCGAGAGAGAGAGAGAGAGAGAGAAAGAGCCCGTGTGTACAAATGTATATATGTATAGATCTATATGTCCGCCTTTATGCGCACGATTATTCATGCGATCTGATGCATGCAAGGCATTATTTTGCATGTGTACTGTGCCCAAGATTGATGCGCCGCGAGAGGGCAGGAACGCTGCCAGTAACTATCCTTATTTTTAAAAATACCTATGAACTTAAATATTCAATAAACTTTTATACTTGTCTTGGATAACGTAGATATGTAAAATTACTAAAAACGACATTGCCATGTGTAGGTGAAAACGAAGTTCTTACCTGGAGTTGGTAAGGCAGTTTTCACGTTTATCGCAAAAATAACACCGGATACCAAAAGAGCATACCCAAAAACGCCTGGGTATGGATTTTGAAGAAAATATTTTAACTTAATCTATAATTTTTTTCCAACGGAAAATTCATGCACAAAATTGCACTTTTGCGCGTTAATACACGTGCTAGGTCACGTAGGTTACTGTTTTGGTTTGCAGAATAATTGTATAAATAAATGTATATGAGGAGCGTGTACGCCGCAGCTCTTTCTGTCATATTTGCCAGAGCGAGCGCGAGCGCGCTCCTCGATATCCGGTTAAATTAATTGAAATTATAGCAAGCTGTGTCATGTAGGTTACTGCTTTGGCTTGCAGTTGAATTGTTATAATATCCGCCGATTAAATCATCAATCATCATCAATAATCATCAATCAATCATCAATAAATAAAAAGTAGTTCCGTTCAATGGGAGTCGCCATTTTGTCCCCCAGTTATTCGCAATGTGATTGGCCGATTCCGTTAGATCGCTGCTCAATTCAGTCGATATAGCAGTGTAAATAGTATAATTTGAAATAGTTCGAATTGTAATATATAAAATAATAATAATAAAAGATACAGAGATTCGGTGACTAAACGACGATTCTCAATGAACAATTGCTATGTTACTATTGCAAAATAAAATTTCTATAATGCTAGGCTAATGCAATATCATAATTTATAAAAGCTTATATGGAGCTTCAAACCAAGCTTGCAATAAGCTGTTGAATATTTTTTGTCAAAAAAAAAAAAAAAAAAAAAAANAATAAAAAAAAAAAAAAAAAAAAAAAATACTCTACTCCGCGTAAACACAATCTGTGTAATGAAAAAAACTGTACAGAAACGCGTCTAATATAGCAATTGATTGAAGAAAAGAGTTTTAGTTTCCTGAACGGACGAGATGAAATACATATATCGTTTTATTGCGTACAAAGTATCTTATTTTAGATTTTCACCCATATTCCTATCTCAAAAATAAGCAAGTGTATGTATGTACGTAATAATCCTAACCTTGTAGAGACAAAAAAAATGTAAAATATTATATATTTATAAAAATAAAAAAGATTTAACTAAATTCTTTTTAGTTTTCTAATGCTGATTAGCCTAAAATTGTGATCCTTGAATTGTGTACTTTTTAAAAGTAAATGTTGAACTGCTAGATAAATTGATAATGAAATGATCATAAAATCATACAATTTTCACAAGCTCATAATCACCCTTCGGAAGGTTCTTTTTCAACGATCAAAATGTCAAAAAATCAAACTACTTGAAGATCAGGCTTTCATTGCATCACTAAGTAAACTAAGACACTTTTTATAACGTAGAGAATGATTGGAAATATTGATTCTTCTCGTAATTAAACGCAATGGTTTTTATTTAAGTAATAACAGGTGAAGTAAGTCACGTTTTTTGAGATAAGAATGAAAGTAAGTCAGAAAGAATTTTTTAACAAGAATAGTAATCGAATCTGAAGTATCAGTGGCCAAGTTGTTTTTGGATTTACAGTAAATTTTAAAACACCCCAAAAAAAAACAATATGAAATTTAATTAACGTATCCCATCTATGAACTACATTATTGATTCATGCAATATCAAATATTTTTATATTTATTTTTTGGGAATGACAAAACTGACTCATGGAATAACAACAAATAATTATGATTCTTTAAATAGATAATTTTAATAATTTTATGTACATTATTTACACTACTTATTATTTAGTGGTAATTTACATGTCTGCAATACTCCACTTGTAAGCTTCTTCTTTAACTGCTTTCTTCATGTTTTGCTGTTCAAACCATTTGCTTTCATACCCATTACTTCTGTCCACTCCATCCCATCGGAAACCTGGTTTAATACCAAACCTATTGGGCATGAATGAGCCAGAATAGCTTGGTGCTCTTTTGCCTTCTTTAATTTCTTTTTCTTTAATATAGGCCAACATAGGATCATCGTCTCTGTCACGACTTTTTAATTCTTTTTCTACATCTTCATCATCTGCATACCTTGCAAGAGGTTTGTCCATCTCTTTCAGATCTTGATGAAGTTTACTCATGTGATCATTAGATTGTTTCAACCCCCGACCCCATTGTGCATATTTGGCATTGATCTCCTCTTGTTCTTGCTGCTTCTCATGATGATATTCAGCTTCTCTTTCCAAATTTCTTTTTCTACCTGTTTTTCTATCACGAACAACAGTAGATTGACCATAGCCACTCATTTCTCTTGACATTTTTTCCATCATTTCATTTTCACGTCTTTTCTTGGCTTCTTCTTCTTCTTTCAAAGATTTGATATTTTGAAGGCCAGCTGATGTACCATCTAAGGTTTTTTTCACCTTTTTAGGTTCCCTTTCCTTTTTAGCGGCTCTTGATGAAATCAAATTAGATTTATTATTTGATTTAAATCTAGGTGGGCTTAAATCTGAGTCAGAACTATTTCTTCTCTGGTCTCTTTCTGATCTTGTATCCCAGGTACTATTGTCTTTGTAACTTTTTTTGCCTTTAGATCTTGGAGGGCTTAGATCAGAATCAGAATGATTTCTGCTTTTATGGTAATTTTCTTCAGCTGATTTTCTTTTTCGAGAGGTCCTGCTGTCAATATCTATTTCTTTCTGTTGAACCTGACTTACAGATTCTTCTGTTGAGTCTGCTACAATTTGCTTCCATCTCTGTTTGTTGTTGTTAAAATCTGTTGGCAAACGATCATCAACCATTACAATTTGTGGAGCATCTTCCTGCGACATGAGTGAAGAAATAATCTCTTCTTCACTCATATTCTCCAAAGGTTTGAAATCATTGATATCATCATCAATAATTTTAACTCTGCAATGGAAAATTTTTCTTTTCTTTTTTTTGTCATCTCCATTTTTTGACAAATACTTTTTCAGATACTCGGCTTGAGAAAGTTTTGACGCGCGTGACATTTTAACTTCCTTAAGAGCATCCTTATGAGATTTGATGAAACCACCACGACTGCTGCTACCCTCCAACACGTAGTTGGATACGAATTCCATTTTTATTTGGATGCGAAATAGGTTATGTCACTTTGTAATTGTTGGTGTATAACACACTTTTAAAGAATAACAAAGCAACACGCGGTATTCACTTCGCAAATCACACGTGGCTAACTATTTACGTCTACGCAGGTTCACTGCTTAGATAATTAATCAGAACTCAGAAGACTAAACTCAGGAGCTATTAGGCGCGTGTGTTCAATTCGAAAGGTTGCGAATGAATGACGACACACGAGCAGCGTGGCGCCTGGCGGTGTGCTTGTGCGGTGTGGTACATGTGCGTGAGTCGAGCAGCCGCGTCGCACCAGTGGATTATAGAAATTACTCTTAATGCTGTTAAAAAAGCAAGCATTTTTGTTTTAAATAATTGAAACTCGTTCAATTCATTCCAATTGTTCATATTGAAAGGTTAGCAATGGCGTATCGATAGATAAAGTAAAACAAGCTGATAACTCGCGCAGTTGCCTATGTCACAAGGCTGAGCAATGGGCATTGGGCACAGGCCGCCTACTTCACTAATACTTCTAATTAGGCTCGCATGCGCTATGAAACTGCATATAAATTTGAATGTATCAAATACTTATGATATTTAAAAAATTGAGTATTAAATATTGATTTCATTTTCCATACAGAAGTTTGCTTTAAACACAGTTGACGACAATGATGATTTTCAATCAACCTTTCTACTGTAAATAACACGATAATTTACTTTTTTCACATGATTTAAGAGGAGTATTTTTGGACGAAGTAGGCTTATTTACAAAATTCAAACACATGATTAATATATGGTAGAAAAAATGACAGGATGAAAAGTAGGAGACCAAATTTTTCAGTTTTATGAATTTTTATTT